ACACACATTTTTTCCTGCCATGATCCTCCCATCTCCCATGAACATTGGAGTTATAAATTTTTTATTGATTATTTTTCTAGAAATTTTATTGTCCTCTTCATCTTTCGGGATAGTTAACAAAAATCAAAATGAAAGAGTCTAAAAATTGAAATAAAATTTCCAAGTTTTATTTCCGAATTTTTATCGGTGGATAAATTATTCTCTTCCGGTACTCGTGAAGTCAGTGAGGTGACCATGAAGACAATGCATAACCGTTGAGACAACGGAAATACAAATACTAAAGGTTCATGTCACGTGTGCGGTGAGTACGTTAGTCTTTTACTCACATGCCGCAAGTTCCTGACGTGCAAAAATCTCGGGTTGAACGCTTACTTGTTGCTCTCGTTACGCCCTAAGTAATAATAGCCTTGCCCCCAACGATCGTTACGTCACACTGGGAGAGAGTGAGATAGGGATTCGCCAAGGAAAATGAGCGAGAGTGCGAGAGAGACAGAGATTATGGTGTACCCGTGTGTACTTGTCGCCTTTTCGATGTACATGTGACCATCGCCACCGGAACTACTCGCTTTTTCCTGTAATTCTATTTACTCAAGACTCCAGCCTTCATGTCAACAACATAAAAATTAAATAATTAAAAAAAACTGCACTCCAAATATTTTTAATAAAAAAAAATTGAAGTCTCATATTTGTTTTTGCAATTCACGCGAAAATATTTATGCATATGTTCATTAAAAGATTAAGATAATTTATTATTTTTTAGAATATCTGAATGAAAAAAAAACGAGTTCGGTAAATGGTCGAATAGTTATAGACCGGCGGTAAAAAAAATCGGTGAAGAATTCTCCAGGAAATCGTTGGCGTTTACAATTGGATAATAATTATAATGTGAATTATTCTGAGAAATCTCGTGTCTCAGGGGCATTAAAAAAATGAAAAAAAAAAAAAAAATGACGGGGATCGAGCGGCAAACCGAAGGAAGTTGATGGAATGCCGATCGAAAGTATAACCACCGCATGTCCGCTGTACAGGTATTGATACTTATGAGGAAGACACGAGTTAACTGCCTTATGTACAGCGAGTAGAATTTCTAAAAAAGAGTGGATTTTCACAATCTCCGTGATATTTACGGTAATAGAAATCGCGTGCGAGAATCTCAGTGGCTCTCGCAACAACAGTAATCTCGAATCCCAGAGAGGCGATGGAAATTGGTGCAGAGCTGGATTTTTCTTCTTTTCTTTTTTCTTTTTTCTTTTTTTCTTTTCCACTTTCAGGAGACAATTTAAATGCTCATTTGGTGAGTGAATTCTCACGGGTGTACGTAAATTGAGGATAATTGGATTGAGCAAGTTGAGAGGAAGAGGAAACAGCGGAAATACACCATCCTGGTCAATTCATACTGAAGCTATTGATGAGATAACAGTGGAATCACATGAATCATATGATATTATCCGGAGTATCTCACGAATACCTAGAAAATCAACGGGTTTACACGGAATTTCAAAGTCGGATGATCATTTTCAGGTCTCATCCAGCAGAAGGAATTTCTTGAAAAAAAATTTTACCAGTGACACAAAAAGGGCACAGTAAAAATTCCAGTCGGCACTCCAAATTTTTTCAGGGATTCACCATTTTTTTATATTTTCCACATTCGATATTTTCCGCTGCTGGTTGTACGATGGATTTTCATGAACGGTAATCATTGTTGATGTTATTACTAGACTGATGTTACGTGCGTTCTTTATCCAGCATCGGGAAACCGAGGCCGAGGCCACATGGCACGTGGCAATACGCCTCCTCTTGATAAAGTTATGTCATACGATCCACCAAATAATCAGTTAATAATAAACAATCGCCCGATTGATCCTCAACCCCGGAGAATATACCCCGAATCATTCCCTTCATCCTGATCTTCAGGATTTGACATTTCACGACTGCTTTCACTCTCATTTTCCAAATGTCACACTGAGAGAAAAATTCAGTAAAACACAGTAAACCTGTTTAATATTTCAATTTAAAATTCGATGTAATCAATTAAAAATATTTTTTAAGTACGTAACAATTTGATTGATTTAATCAGTTGACTCAGAAATACTCAACCCCAAAAAATCGTGAAGTCAAATTTATTCCTGATAAAATTTTGATAGATAAAATCACTCACGGTTTAACGAGCGGTGGATTCTTCAATAATGATGTCATATTTTTGTTTCTGCGTACATTTTGAAGTAATGAATGACTAACAAATGGTGACCATCAAATTATGGCCGAGTGCACTCGGTCTATTAAATTACGTGTTCAATGGTTGATGCTCTATTCGGGTTGGTTGAGCATCTGCACTGTATCTGGTGTCATTCGGTGGATAGAGAAACTTGGTTTCAGCCCTTCAAACGTTATCACGCAGCGATTCACAATCACCGAGATGCAGCCAATCATTTGCCCGGTACATTTTCTGTTTTCATCCTCTCCTTTTTCCCCCATTAGCGCATTTTTCTCAAATTTTCTCTCATTTTTCATTTGATTTCTGCACCGCAATCGAGATATTATTTTTTAGATTAGTTTATTTACCCCAGGATGGTGGAGGGGGGCTGAATTATGGGTATTGACAAGTGTCAACTCGCTCAGCTGATCGGAAAACCTCTCGACAATACCAGGTGTATTATTATTATTTTCCTCAACGTCCGCTCATTGTTGGTTTATTTATCACATGCGTCATCAGCTCTGACGCTCTATTTTTATCATTTTTCTAAATTTTATTTTCCCTACGATTTCTTATCTGAAATAGTTTTCGTGGGAAGTGTCAAGAGATTAATTTTCCTGGAAATGAATTCGTTTTAATGACAAGACGAGTCAGAGTGGAATTTTTATAAAATAATGGATATTTTAATTCTTAATTAAAAATAAATTGAGACAATATCCTTCGGGTGTTTGAATCATCGGCTCTCATCAAGTAAATCCCCTCGATTGAGAGCGATAACGAATAATTGAAGAAATCACAATAGCACTTGCCTCGAAGCTCATAAATAAAAATCTATATTGACTTGCAGAGTCATTGGTGCGTAGAAGGAGCTCGAGGTCGTTCCTTGGCTCCGCTTCATTGCTCTTGCAATATATCGGCTAATGATCCCAGGGGGTTAATGACCCAGCGCAATATTTTCTCCTCAAAATTACCGATGTGCACCAGCAATAGCACTTGCATTGTCACTAGGTTAATACATTGACACCAATGAGAAACCCATTCTCCATTTATTGCTGAAAAAATTATGAATTATTTATGGGAGTGCGTCGCTGACTCGTCGATGTCTCAGAATGTCAAACGTTTCATTGTCCTCGGATACATCCGCTCGATACATCTGAAATATTCTGAAATATTCTGGAATATTCTGGAATATTCTTCTCCACCTTCCGGTGAAAAATCGAGAGATCTCTTTTGTTCTCTTGGCAGAAGAAAAAATAAAAAAAACCCAAGACCTCGAGCATTATTTTTGTTAATTTCTCTGTACCCTTGGTGCCTGTTGACCTCGACTACCATCGAATGTAATTTCCCCTCGATATATTTACGAGGTACAATTATGACCCTCTCTTCACAATCCTCTTAAATTTCAATTTGAAAATACAAGGAAGACATTCACCCATGAATTACCCTCGGTGATCATTGAGTCATCGACCTTTTTGGAAGCCATTCGAGTTCCCTATTAGTTAGTGTTGTCCGATTATCCGTTCGCCGAAACGAATTTATGAATAAAAGCTCTGATTCCGCTGGCAACGAGGGACCAGTGTTTCTGGATCCGATTGACCTTTGGATCTAGTTCGGTGACTACTGGTTCTAATCTTAGAGTATTATATTTAGATCTTTTAGTCTCGACTTGCCAGTAACTCACAAAAAGTGTGACAATTGAAATAAAAGGTAAATGCCAGTGTTAGAAATATCAAGGAGTAGCAATAGTGAAATGTAATTTCCTTACAAGAATTTTGGAATGAAATTTTCTAAGAATATTTTCATTTTTTCGTTTGACAATCTTTAGAATTTTGTTATTCATCATTTGAACCCCAAAAGTAATCCTAGACACGTGTTAATCTCTCAAGTGTGGATAACCCATTACCAAGAGAATCTACTAAAGCCATTCGAGGACTAGCGACACGACCAGGGGCACTAAAACGATGAGAATATTACGTAATTTGTGTACATAACTTGAATAACCGCGATGTGCCACTGGAGGGGTGGTAAAATTCGTAAGGAGGGGGGCGGATAGAGGGAAAATGCGGAAAGGACGAAGAGGAGTAAAAGGATGAGTACAGAAGCGTCGACATCACCAGTTGAGAGACACCCTCCATCATGGGGCTTTAATTAAAATTACGTACGTTTCCGCTTGTAACTCGAGCCTCCATTTAGGATTTTCTTCTTTTTCATGAGCTTTTCATTATACGAACATGCACAGAACCATCTTTGAAAAGACATAGCCACTACTACCCTCTTTTGCTCGTTACCCTTTTATTTTTCATTGTTTTCTTTTTTCATCTTGTTTTACTCTTACTTTTCATATTCATCTTTTTCACGAAAGTGTCCCTTCCCCTGTTCATGTTCTCAACACAACGTGCAACTCTCATTTGCCGGGAGTGGATATAGTGCCTGAAAGAATTCCCATCAACTCTCTTAAGGCTTGTGCATGTTTGCGAAACAGTGCGAGAATTATTGTCAAGGATTGTGGAAATAATGCCAGCGTAATAAGATACTGAGAGGAATAAAAAATGAGGTGACAAGGGGGATGGGAAATGAGGGAGAATAATGAGAGTGTGAGAGGTGCGAAGCGCAATTGGATGTTTGTCTCCTGATTAACAATAATTAATGCGAACCTCCAATTTTTTTTTGGGAATAAAACAAAATGTCATCTGCTATTTTCTCATTGTTATGCAATTTATTCCTCATGATAATTCTGTACGATCGATTTGGCATTCTGAGATATTCGTTGACGTGGAATTTTTTTTTCTCTCTCGTGTGCCAACAGGTTTGCTAAAAGGCTCGGTCACGGCCGAACGGCCTCGCACACTTCGTCGTCTGCGAAACGTTTACGGCCAGACCGCATGCGGAATGGGCACCGGTGCAGACACCACTGGTGAACGGCTTGATGATGGTAATGCCGATGCATCAATAAGGCACATAGATCGAGATGAAAAATCCCTGAGCATAATGAGCCCATTCGACGAGCAGGAGGAATGGGCAAAAATATCGGAGATCATGGCGTCATTCGGTACGGGTTTGGTCAGGGAATCTGTATTCGTCAGCGAACTCGAGAAGGAATTCCAATCAAGACTCGGTAATTACTCTTCTTATCGCCCTTACAACATGTCAAAATTGCAATTACAATTATTATTTTGATTCATCTTGTTTATAACATTACAGGATTCAGTTCGGACACCAGTAGTCCAGTCGTGGTGACAGGTGTTGACCAGTGGCTATCGAGTCTCGGTTTTGCTGATTATGAGTCTTTATTCGTGAATTATGGCTTTGATGACATCGAATTTATCGTAAGTAACAACGAAATTCATTGATTATCAATAATTCTTTCGAATTCACCGATTCCATCGTTATAATCGACTGAATCATCACCAACAGCACGGAATCCTGGAGGAGTCAGACCTAAAAGAGATGGGCATAACCAGCGATAAGGACCGAGCGGTGATAATGAACGCATCAGTTCTTCTCCCAAAACGTGTAGATAAGCACACATCGAGCCCGCGAATAGTCGACGAGTGGCTGAAGATGATTCACCTGGACAACTACATCGAGACCTTCAAGAAACACCTCTACACCGACATGGAGCGAGTGCGGCGAGTCTGGGAGGTAGAACTTACGACAGTTCTCGAGATCCAAAAACCTGGCCACAGAAAACGCATCCTGGCGTCAGTGACAGGCCCCAGTCCGCGGGGTCAACCCCGAAACGGCACTGGCCCAAATCTCGAGGACCTCAACAAAGATCTGAACACTCTGGTGAGTCCCATTCGTCCTTATATTCATAAAAAAACATTTTCAAAAGCATTGGCACAAATCGGGCCCACAGTGTAACACACAGGATTTTCATAGGATTGCTCCATCTGGAGTACGACAAGAGCTCCTACAGGGCAATCCTATTGTCATTTATCTTTTATGACCGTCCCCAAAGCCCAGTGTCAAAACGACCAACCAAACCTGAAGTATCCGAACGAGTGTCATTTACTCCCCTCCATACATTCCCCCAATTACCAATCCAGCACACCCCGGGGTGTCCAACTCGTTGAAAATTAATTGTCAGAGTATCGCTCGTTCACCTTTCATGTTCCCCACCCGCTGAAAAATCTAATCACCAATACCAGGTACAATCCCAAACAATCGTCTCTCATCAAATTAGTACTTTATTGCATGCCCGAATCGTTGAATTTCTCCCCCACTCCACCAGAGGGTGGATACAAGACTGATGAAAAGACGAGTCCCCAATGGGGTTGGACATGTTGATGATGGCAAATAATACTTGAGGGGTGGAGTGAACAACAATGACACTCGTGGAATGATGAGACAATCTCGCTGGGCTGGTGAATTGATAATAGGGTGCTATTTCAAACACAATCGTTGAGCGGTTTTTCCATTTGTCTCGAGAACGGGGTGTAATCAGTTCTGGGAAGTGGAAGTGATATCTTTTCATTTAGTACCTCCTTCTCACGCATTATGCATACGCTGATTCCCTATTGGATCGCGTTATAATGTAAATAACGTGGCTAATTGGAGACTCACCTATTGTTCAACACTCGACACTTTACAATGGCTTTCACTACTCTCATTCAAGTGTGATCTCTCTTTTTGTCTCCAACTCCTTCCTGTTGCAATTCATTGTTTTGCCCGTTTCTTTTTTTTTTTATCCTTTGACGTACTATTTTTTATGACTCCTTTTTTTTCTGTTGTAATCTACTCCTCTTAATTAGCTTAGTGAACTCGGGTAAATATCACGGGTTGAGGGGCACGAGGGGGAGAGAAAAGATGGGTAGAGGTAGAGGGGGACGGAGAGACAGAGGGGGAAGAGGGGGAATTGACGTATCCGGCGATCTGATAAATTGCTGCTGTTGATCGAACAACGGAATTGATATATCGTCAGTTTTTCCCCTCCATCTCTCTTCCACTCGTTTCGCCGTAATTTTCATGGAAATAGTTTTGTTTTCATTTTATTGTTTCTCGGTTTCGAATATATCGCACCCCTCGGTGACATTATTTGTATTGGAAGTTGGGGAGAGTCAATGAGATTTTTACGTACGGCTGTCTAATTCGCAGATGAAGTGCCTCGTAATTCTGGGGGGCGACAGAATTATTGTTTTTTCATTGTTTTTCAATGCACAGGGTGTCTAGGTTCGTGAATTATTTATCTGCATACGTTGATGGGAGTGATTGGTGAAATTCGGTTAATAATTATGTTATTTTGTTAGTTGCATTTACAATAGTATTTGGTTTGTAGTTTAAATACCTTTTAATCACCGATCGCTGAAAAAATACCATCGACCAATCCTTTTTATTGTCCCCTTGGTTCAGCTCGTATCCGGTTTCATGGACCCCATGCAGTAGTTTTTGTTGACGGGGGTCCCCCAGCCATTTCTTGTCCCTCGTTACGAAAAATCGTGGGCTCTGATTTCTCGAATAGATACATTCAGGTATAAATAATGGTCTCAAACAGGTTTGATCGTTCATGCGGAGAAATTCGACGCACACACAGAGTCTCCACAAGTTTCTAACGCGTTGAAAAAATACATATATATATCAGAAATTATTGGATGCGTTCCAGAAGAGCAATATCCAGCAGTTGAAGGAGGAGATTAGGGAAAAATTACCGGAGAGTCCGCAGGACAATGGCAACGTCACTCAGACAACTGTCACGGGGACAAATGCCGCGACTTCGGGGACATTGAGACACAGGAAGAATAGGCCAGCACCTCAGCCACCCCAACGTCCTAATTCTCATAATGGTAATGTTGCACCTGAACAATTGGAGATTCGAGCCCCTTCGGAGCTGCTCTTTGGGGTTCCAACAACGCTGAAGACACAGTGGAGACACCAGCCCAAGGCTCTAGTCACTGGCAATGTGCAATATCTTGCCAATGTAAGTCATCTAGCTTGACAACCACTTGCTCCCCTCCAGAAATTATTAATTATCACAATTCTTTCGTTTCACTTACTCATTAGTACTTGGGTTCCACCGTGGTGAAGGAGCTTCGCGGTACAGAATCGACGAAAAAATCGATTCAAAAATTGAAGAAAACCTGTCGAGATCCCAGGGTCAGTCTAGGTATCACTCTTGCCATTTCTTACCGAGGGGTTCGGTTCCTGGACTCAGCTACAAATGTAAGAGATCTTTCGTCTCTAGTTGACGTTGCCATATTTCTTGTATAATTCCGGTGTTTCACTTGATAAACAGGAGCCAATCTGCGATCACGAAATCCGCAACATCCACTGCGCCTGTCAGGATGCAGACGATCTCACTCACTTCGCCTACATCACGAAGGACCACGCGAGTCGCACTCACTTTTGTCACGTCTTTTCTGTACCAACTATGGTAAACAAAGCTCTGAAGTTGATTTGAAAATAAAATTCTGAGAAGATCTTTGCAATCCGGGAGTGGGAAAAATGTATTTTATAAAATGATGTTGTTCTTTGCTTTCAGGACCAAGCGACTGAGGTGATTTTAACTCTAGGTCAGGCCTTCGAGGTAGCATATCAAATGGCCTTGAGGGATAAATTAGGAAATCAAACGGTGAGATCCCAGTCTGCTAATCAATTGGCAAGTGTTATCAATACCACAACGACTGTAAAAACTCCATCAAACTCAACATACGATAATCCTCAAAATTCAAATCCAATTATCACCGCTGATTCTAAAAGCTCAAAATCTGGTAACACTCAGCAAACGAATGCAAATACTTTGAAATTCAAGTCAAAGCAAAAACAATCGGAAAAGGCGACAAATTCAAATCACAATTCTCACGTTAATCCGGGAAACGAGTCAAATTCACACGGGATAAGCATCAGTGTAGCAAGTAATTGCACCACGGGAAATTCCAATGTAAGCACGAAGCCATTGGTGACCCATGGTCGTTCGCACTCTGTGAACGACATAAAAATTAATGGGAATCAGTTGAAGCTTGCACCAACTCCAGTTGATGATATTGGTGTGGGTGTGAAGGACATGAAAGCAGGTTCTCGTGCACCTATCGCACTATCCGAAGAGCTGTAAATTTCGTCGAGATAACATTGGTTATCCTTTAGCAGCTGTTCGTACGTGAAGAAGAGGATTGCACTGAGCAATCTTTTCTTTTTTGCTACCAGTAATTTTTTTGGATTTCAATGGCCAAGCTGTGATCAATTATTTATAAACACGGATATTCAAGTCTTCTAGGTCATGTGCAGCGAGTTATTTTTAGTGTATTGAAAATGGTGAACGTTTGACGTGTCGTAGGATTTATCGAGGATTTGTGGCTCTTTTATGAATATCTTCGAAGTTCATTTCAAGAATCGATCATCTCCGGAGCCGAGGTAAGTTGACGATACTTGAGATGCATATCCACCAAAATTCATATTGATCATTGTATAGCAGTTGGATAACGCTATTTTTCGGGACAAACTGGTTGAATCTGCCAAATCCATTGTTTAACAATTTTTATTAAATTCAGATGAATACGTAAACATTCCCAGATAATCAGATTATTCAAGGTATAGAACACGAATGAATTTCGCATAATGCTCAATATTACTCTCTTAATTATTAGATGATATATGGATAATTCTCAGATATTGAGTAATTAATTGATAAAAAAAATTCTCAATCTTTCAGAACGAATAATTTTCATTCGTAACGATCCTTTTCGATGATTTTTACATAGTAATCAGCCTACTTTTCGATATTTAATCCTCAAAGACTGAGAATCCTATTGAACGAAGTCCAAGTAATTTATAATATTCGTAATAATTTATGATATCGACGAAACAAAAAGTGTTTGAACCATTTGCTAGGTATTAGTTTAAATTAAACTCTGAAAATATCCCCCCTCCCCCCAAATATCGTGGATGGTAGGTTCGATGCGATATAGTATTATCCAAAGATTAAACCTCGAGTATAGATGATTGTCGATGATTATCGATGGCAATCAGAATGAGGGAGTAATGAATTCATTAAAAAAATGGAAAAGTCTCACTGAGACTCACGGGTATGCTTCAGTAGTGTCTGAAGGACTCTTCGATCTGAACTTGAGAAGGGAGAAAATTTTTTATTGTTAAAAATAAATCCAGCGAAACGGTCCTAGAATTTCAAAAGTAGCGAATGTGCATTAAATATATTAAATACTGGAGCATGATTACGACTTACAATTATGACCAAAAATAGAGGGATGGAGTGTTGGGGCTCATCCAAGAGTAAAATTGAACGATTTAGATCGGTGAATTAGGATATATAGTTCTAGAAACCAAAGAGGCGTATTTGAGACATTTAACCGAAATGTTCAGATTAAATGAGTCAGGTACTCACAGTAAATTGAATAAGTTGTACTCGAGGAAAATAAAAACTGCCAAATAAATAAATAAATCACCTCCAGTTGTGAAACGTACGCACACGTGTTGCATTAAATACATTCATCGAAAATTTTTTGAAAACCATTGGGGTTTCGTTATGAAATTTAGAGTAAGAAATAGCAGCACTCACCAAAGCATTCATAGAAAATTGTATACTGTAAAGTAAGTGTGAAGGGATGAATACATCAACATGCTAGACATATTTCTTACATATTTCTGACGACTTTCAATTTATATTAGATTATTCTCAAGTCCATTTGAAATTTCATATTGCCATAGAATGAGAATCAATTTTCTGGGGAATTATTCGTTCTACATCCGTTATGTTTCTTCGATCTTTCTCCTGATTGATAATTTTTCTGAGAGTCGTGTACGTGAAGAAGAAATAAAAACGAGTAGTTGTCGATCAAAATATCACGGACGATTCTATCGTGAAAAGTTCTTCTCATGTACCTTTGCCCGTTCTTGGGATGAAATTCGCTCTTGATTTCTCAAAGATTCATCAGACATTAAAAAGTACCTAGGAGTTATAGATGTACGCTCTGTACGATAGCTAAATCGTCGCCAAAACTCGGATGAATCAGCTCGGCTATACGAGATTAACTAAGAGAGACGTTTTACATTCTCAGAAGACATCTCCCCATTCATATCCCCTCGGATCACCGATTCTCCATAAAACATGTTCTTTTGATGTTGAGTCACTATCGTAAATGAAACGTCATTAACATCGCGACTCCCTCAGCCTTGATGCTATCGAAATGAAAGGTCAAAACCGAGCTCTTGAATTTCTTTAATTTCAAAAAAACTCTTTCACCAACATTTCCAACTGGTGAATGCCAAAGTTTCGAGATATTTCGACGAGCCCTCCGAACATTCACGAACCATTTCCATTCATATCTCCCTAGAATTCGAAAACACAAGTCGCAAGTGGATGAATAAGTAATTCACGAATAACACAATTTCCATTTACAAAAATCTCGTATCCGCGAGCTGATTCGAGGGTTTGAATGATGCATATTATTGTAATTCAACATTTATACATCGAGCTTGCATTAAATAAATAAAACACTTGGAGATGTCATGCGAGGAGAGGAGAACAATTTGTGTAGTCATGTGTAGAAAAACTAAATCGACGATTATTTCTTTCAATAGTGTTTATCGTAACGACAGCTCAAGGGGGTGTGGGTGCAGTATTGTTGTGCATTATTTCGAGCACAGGAAACAGGGAGTGAAACAGTTTCAGGGTTTAGAAATGCACAAGTAGGGGAAACAGGGGTTGAATTGGTTACGCTCGATAGTGACTCTTTGAGTAGCTGTACCCCCCATATTCGCTTCAACCCAATACAACAGCAATACGATTATTAAACATCTATTCTCACCATCTTTGTCGCGTATATCTCGCTAAAGAATAGTGTATTGTAGAGGAAAAGTCATTATTCATTGAAAAGCTATTATTACTTGAGAAATAGATAATTAAGACGAACTTGCCACTTTCTATTCTCTACTCGATAAAAAAAAAAAACAATTTGTGACAATATCTGTACTTCTTGATGTTACTTGTATCATGTAATTACCAAAAATTGTTCGTACGTGACAATTAAATAGAGTTTAACAGGTGAATTATCACGTTTAATGATAATTGAATTAAAAGGTATACACTATGATGAGAAATCTATGACCCAAATTTGATTTTTCAACGGCACGAATGAGAATTTCGTGTAATTTAAAATTGTGATGGCTGGAGTTTGTGAATTGGAACACTAGTTCCTAGGATATAGTGATAAAACGATATTTCATATGTGAATTATTAATCGCGCCGACGCTGGATGTGATAACTGATTGGAAATACTTGAGGGTTATGAGAAAGATATGATTGTAGACAGATAATGAGATGAGAGTAATGAAGAAAATGTGATGTCGTAATGGAGGGAATTTGAATCGACGAGCAAGTTGAAAAAACAAGTGTGTGTACATAGAATGGATTGAACGCACTGTAAGATAGGCGTGTATCCGTTTAATTCATGTGCAATATGTTGTAATTATTATCTATATTTATTGAAGCGAGGGAAAGGGGTGACTTGACGATGAGCGCAGTGTTGCGTGGTGATTACTGTGGGCGCGTCTTGTCGCAATTAGTGATCTTTGATCGGATAATTGGTGGAATGATACGAAGACTTTTGGAGACTGCGCTCTTTGATTTCAAGTGTGGATGAGTGGTTGACACTGGCTAAATGTCGAGGCAAATGAAGGGTGAAAGTTTAATGCATCGGAATGAAGGTATACTATTTGCTTATCATTATTTGATCGACGCTTATGACATAACGCGTCTTGATCGGTGCACATTTTATTAAACTAATGTGATATTTAGTTTGTCTCGTAGTTGATTAATGAATTTCCGAAAACTATGTGGACTCGATATTTTGGATAATTTATCTCCTGATTTATTGAACTCGTATAATCAGCTTTGCTTCATTATTCGTCGATTGGCATTATCGTCAATTATTATTAGAATTTAATTGAGGATTTTCGATGGGGGGCTGAAGTACATAAATTTCCAACTTCAAAATTCATAGGCGTAATTAGAGTAATTATTGGGGGCGTAGTTGTAATATTGATGGCGATGATTGGGGTAATCAAACGAGATCAAATTTAATGATTAATCGATGAAAGATATGATATTCCGTTCAAAAGCTTTTACCGTCGACGAATGCCATATAGACGCACTATTTTAAAAAAAGTAAAACATTCAAGTCGCAGCCTGGTTATACGCAGACTTCCTACGTTCTTGTATACACTATATTTATTATTGTTCATGTTTATTAGAATTATATGAATATATATATGAAAATATATATATAAGATATAAAACATCATGAGAATTTTTTATTCACACCTTTGAATCCCACATTTTCTGCTCAATCGAGTAGATAAATTTTCCTCCCGCGAAATTTAATTGTCGACTTTATTTTATCCGAAGTCTCAAAAATTTTTCCGAACTGTTACAATAAAAAAAAAATTCCAAAAATGCATCAAAAATGAAGTTATTTATTTTATTGAAATGGTTTCGTTAAAAAATCATTTAAAAAGTTGTCCAGTGATTTTTCGGAGAATGAAAAAAAAAAAATTTCAATCACAATTTTTTTCACTCGAGCAAGTATTTAATTGACCGTTGAGCGTTAACGCGACGTGAAAATCACCGAGCGAAATATTGCGGTAAAGTTGTACATTGTGTTGGTATTTTGAATTATATTGCGGCCAATATTCTATTACGTGCCAATGGAAGTAAGCCCCGGAGGTAGGCACCACCGTTGCCCCCGGTAAAGATGCTAATTAACCAAGTTTTGATCTTAACAAAGTTTTTCGATTAGCCAGTAGATTGTTACAAGATGCGGGCGTTGGTTTTCCGCTGTACTCGTTATATTTTCATTCACAATAAAGAAAACGACGAGATCTCGTTTGTCTGAAGCAAGAGGACCAGGTCAAAATCACATTTCATCATCCAAAGCCAAACAAATCGAGTTAATTAATTATATCCCAATATAAATCCCGTCATGATTATTACTAAATTGTTTGTTTCATTATCTATTGTGTTGAGGACACACGTTATCAATTCCAAATTACCTCAAAAGTTAGCTGATGTACAATTAAGCAGTTGTTTGTCCGTTAACTGATCCGATTTTTCAGTTTAGAATGTATAACCATGAACAATGACCGGTTATTATTAATCATTTTGCCCAGACGTGTTACTATCACATTGCGATATATGATTGCACTGTAATTGTAAACTCTTTTGAAAACTGATGCTGTCATCACATCCGTTCCACTCTCAACAGTTTTTTTCCGCAAGAATTTCATCGGCATTTTTTATTTAACACGCCTTCACATTTTTTACCTCAACATTTACCGGAAAAATTAATGATTCAATGATGAATTTTTTTATTCATGAATTTTTTTATTCATGAATTTTATTTCAAACTCAGTTAATAAAAATTGTGAAATGATGATTTTCTGAGGATAATCTCCAGGTTAATGTAATCATCGACTAAACAGCGGGATAATGGATCCTGCGAGTGAATGGTTGGAGTCATGGAGAAACGATTGGCGAAGTTAGGTTTGCCATCCCACAGGATAAAACGTGGAGAAACGATCAGGGGAACCCCTCGCTATGACGTGGAACAAAAGAAATAAACGAGGGCGCGGTTTGTGCGTGACATTGTTATATAAGTGCGTGCAAACAACATTTGAAACGGTACGTTCTTCTGGGTTATTTCGCAAGACGAAGAGAGCCAATGTATCTGGTTGGAAGGGCTCACGAGGAATCGTAAACTGATGGCAGTGCTGAAGGCACTGAAAAAAAAGATAACCCCTGCCATTGCCTGCCACCCCCTACCACCCCACGATATCATGCTTACGAAATCCGTACGATGAAAGTTTCATTCATCGTATCCATCGTTTATTTCTCTCCATTCTTCTTCCGAACAAATTGTGTCACTTTTTTTTTTTCTTCAGGGACTCGGCTGAGAAAGCATCCAATTTGTTACGGGTGACGAGGAGAAAAATCGCGGTGAAAGATCGTGAAACGAGTTGCATCAATCATATTAAATTTTCTATCATCGAAGGAATAAAAAGTAAAATATCGGAGGGTTTTTCACGCAGTTCTGTCACAGCTTTATGTTTATCGAGATCATCAAAATGGATAATGGTCCAGATGCAATGACAAATCGTCGAATCCAGTGACGCGGAAAAAAAAATCTGCGGTGTCAACGGAATTTTTAACAGATTTCCACTGGAAAAATTAATGGTAATTAACAACGCGATCAATTCAACTGCTCACTCGGAAAATCTACGGTCGTAACGCACCGAAAAAAAAAAGACCCTTTCAGATAAAGTATCACCCGCGTGCTATCACCAGGTACCGGCCATTCGTTTCCTCGCTTCCAACACGCCGACTTCGTGGCACTCGCTCGTACATTGTCCATCCTATAAAAATCACACCGCATCCAGGAAGATTAATATAGAAACAAGCCATTAATAACCCCTTCCGCTCCACCACCCAAAGCGAGAAAAAAAAAAACTACCCCCATGAACCCCCACACCCTCCACTGGCATTTAATTGATTCGGCTCTGTGCAAAAGGTCTTCACCCAAAAGAAAGATACATTCATCCAGAGATGTTTATTCTGGTTGGATTCCCCTATGATTGACAAAACTAGAAGTAACTAAAAGAATTTCCACAAAAGATGGCACAAACGAGGTTCGAAGGACCAGGAATGTCCCCGGGTAAGTACATTTGTGTCGTGCGACATAAAAAAATAGAGGGAGGAGAAAAAAAAACGAAGCAACGAGTATCTCTCTTCTTACCTCGTGAGGAGGCATTTTTTATCCTGAACGCTGTTTTTTTTTTTTTTTTATTCAGTCGTTTATCCTCCAGTGCACTTTTCTCCCGCATTTGCCGGGCGTTTGGGCGGCGAAGCGTGACAAATGCCTGGGCAAACCCGGTACAGGGCTTATAACGGTGCATTGCCGCGAGGCTGTTGCAGCAGACAATGACGAGAAACATTGTCATGGGGGTGTCGCATGGGATTTCCATAGACGAGTGAGAGGGAATTAGAGAGGGAGCCACGTGGCAAAAGGACGACCGGGGTGGGATAGTTGTGTTTTATTTCGTGATCAGTCGAGCGGCTCCATCAGGGCTTGGCTCGTTTGGGCTCGTCAAGGCGTGAGGGCGGCCACGGGACCGATGACAAAACGCCCTTACATCTTTTTTTTTTTTACATTCTCTCTTTGCTCTGGCCCCCTTCGGCTTTTTACTTCTTCAGCCTGTGCGTATATGAAAGGAGGGGGTACGGGGGGGCACTGACGAGGACATCCATAAACGCCTGCACTGAAATGTCAGTCAGGCTTAGTAACAGAGTGCAGAGTGAGAATCCTGGGGATCTAGATGGCTATCGTATTGAGAAGGACTATGGGACGATCCTGTGTTCCACCGTTACCTAATTATTCCGGACGTTCGACTTTTACTCTTATTCTAATCCCCCAGGAGCTGGGGAAGTTGGGAAGATGGGAATTGGGGGTAGTGATTAAAATTGTTGATTTTTTTGAGAAGACTCTGGGTAAAAATGATGGTGATGAGGTAGACAGTATACCTGCAATCACGTGAAATTAATGAAAGGAGCAACAGAAGAGGGTGCATGGAGCTTATTATGATCCCCGAAGAGGGTGAAAGCCCATAGAGCATGCCATCACATCCATAAACTCGGATGACAGACTCTGAATGGATGCGGACAGTAGCGCTGAGAGGCAACCAGATACCCGGAAGATCGAAACGCCATGTTGACGAGATAGAGTCTAGGATCTGTTGGCATGACGCGTTGAATCTCTCCATAACCGCATACACAGGGAGCCAATCCTGACTAGTCCCCTTCTCCCGATAGGCAGTGGCATAACGTTGGCCGAGTGTTGTAGACCAGCACTCCCTGTGGCTGACGTTGAACCTGGCCAAGCTTCGGGGTATCTATCGGATAATTAGCCGTTGATTACGCGACAGTCATTCGGGCGGATATCATCGCCCACGGGCAATGCTCTCTGTCCTCTCTATGTGCATACAACTGGTATTCCCCCAAAGGCTGAGGGAGAGGGAAAGGAGACTATTGATGGTGGAGTGAAGAGAGTGTGTTGTGGGGTGTGTACCTGACTGAGGGCATCCTATATACACCCGTCCATCCGTTTCCTACTCCAGAGTATAGAGTCTGAACCCGCACTTCCTGCATCTCGTTACTGACGAGCCAATGCACTGTTGGCCGCCGTTTCACTCGCATTATAGTACCTCTTCCTCCTCATCCTCCTCATCCTCCTCATCCTCCTCATCCTCCTCATCCTCCTCATCCTCCTCTTCC